TACAGTTGCTTAGTTATATTGTTAACAGTTAGGTGAAAAATACAATAAATTTGAACAACGTTTTGATATTGGATGAATAAATTTTAACAGAAAAAGGAATCACAATAAAAAGTTTGAAACACTGAGACGTATAAAACTGTCTAAGCTCACTTTTTTCTTTCCTCATTTTTTCGTTACCTCTAATTTTTCGATTACAACAAACAAAAGTGTTGGACATTGTGTTCAACAGAATTAATTACTTTTCTCATCACCGTTTATCAGTTTTGCGCCACTTCACAAAGTTTATTTTCAGAGTTTACAGAGCAGAAAAAAAAAAACGTTTGCGGCTAAGAAAATTTTGATCATAATTTATTCAGCCCTAAATTTTACCTGTCGTTGACAGCTAAACAAAAACGTTAGCAGCGCTTAATCCAACTGAAAGTCACGAAAACCAGTATCAATGTTTTGGAAGAAAAAGAAGTATTGTTTTTGTTTCTATTCTTTTTAACTGGAGAATACGTATTGGATAATAAATAATTATTTTATTTCTCCTCATCGTATTCTTCTTAATAGTCTAAAAATTTTAGGGACGATGAAAGTAAAAATACATCTGAAGAACCAACAACTCCACGAGCAACAGTACCTCAGCTGGTAAGTGAAGATAGTTAAACAGATATTTTGTTTAGTGTAACATTTAAGAGCAGTTTTGAATCAACAGTTTTGATGCTCTAACGGTTTTGTTGATCACGAAATTGTAATAGATCAAAAATAATAAAAAGTATTAATTGAAGAGGAAAAAAAGCAGCACTTATAGTCGGTAAGACAGCGCCGATGCAGATGAAATTGTCAAAAATTGTAGCTGTAAAAATAATTCATCAATTTACAGCTTCAATTTGCTTCACCGTTTGATCTGATGTTATATTCCGTTGGTTCATTAGTGGCAATTGCAACTGGATGTGGTATGCCATTGATGTCGATAATTGTTGGTGGTTTATCACAAGCTATCGTCAATGCCCAAACGCTGTATGAAATTGAACACTGTGAGTCAGTCTAACTGTTAACAGATTAAGTTAATGGTTACAAAAAATTTTTTTGTTACTTGCAAATGTATAGATTCTAGTTTCTACTCTGGCAGCTGCATATGCACATACTTTTAGTGTAGAAGATTTTGTTTCAAAAAATAATTATTATAACAAATTTGATTATTTTGTGATTATTTTAAAAGTGATTATTTTCTTTTTTTGTTTTTTGTTTTTTTTTTTTTTTTTTTTTTTTT